TATATATATATATATATATATGCGTAAGTACTTTGTTTTTATGTTTCTCTCCTTTCCTAATGCACATTCTTTTTGCTTGTTTCTTTACTTTCTGTTCTCGCAGCCTTACATTGCTTTCTTGCCCATTGCTACTTTACATAAGCACATGCATATGCACATTGAGAGCCTCTGTACCAGAGTCAAATTCTTCGTGTGTCCAACACACCTGGCCAATAAAGCTGATTCTGATTGTAAATGTTATATTAGTAGAACTATCTAGTTCAAGTTCAAAGTGTTTATTTGTCATATGCACAGTTAGGAAATGTGTTTCCCTGTACAATGAAATAATTACTTTGCCGTCCACATGCGCCTTAACCACTAGCCTACCAGGGATGGCTCTTACTTTGCCGTCTACATGAATGCCACAAAATACAAATGAAATATAAAGTAGATAAATAAGTAACACATACTATTTCCAGCAGTATGGGGCAGTTCGTTGAGAGGAGGGGGTCCTTGTCCCTAACAGTGTTGGTACCAGATTCGTGCATTGTACACACTGATTGTAAATGAGGCCCCGTGTTACTTCCACACGCTTTATTAAACAGAGTGCAATTCGTCTCCAGCCCGCATGGGGGGCTCGGACATAACACATTTACGTTTGTTGCTGTGATGTGTCACAGCGATTCAAAAGGATCCGGGAAACGTTTAGGCGGAGGATAAGGTTCACAATTAGGAAAAAGCCGGGACTGAAGCTGTTTAAAAATCATCCGTCATGGTTCAGGAGTTTCACATCCTCAGATGCTTCAAATGTCAGAGCTTCCAGGTTCAACAGGTAATAAACTACATGCTGCTGACTAATATCAACGGAAACAATGATAGCAGGAAATTAACAGGCTGCTAACGTTTGCTCAGCTAACTGACAAGCTAGCAGGCTAACTGCCATCAGAATCAGCTTTATTGTTCAAACGCAAGGAGTTTGACTACAGAGGCTCTCAGTGTGCTTTTGTAAAGCATCAAGAAAATAAAAAAAAGGAAAATGGGAGAAATTACATTTGCCCAGGCCTTGTCACCCGCGACCTGGTGACCATCACCACTTTTACCATGACCCGAGATGTGTGTCAGGCCTCTCCACACCTCACGCATCCTGGTCAAAAATGACTCCAAGGTTCCTCGCAGCAGGACTGGAGGCCAGAGCTATGTCATCTAAAGTAACTATATGATTACACAGCAGATTTCTAAGGTTTTCAGGCCCAAGTACAATGACTTCAGTTTTGTCAGAGTTTAGAAGTAAGAAGTTGCAGGTCATCCAGGCCTTTATGTCTTTAAGACATGCTTGAAGTTTGACCAGCTGACCTGATTCATTTGGCTTCATAGATAAATATAACTGAGTATCATCTGCATAGCAATGGAAATTTATGTTGTGTAATACCTAATCCTGGCTCTAGATACAATGGCTAATTTATATATTTATAAGATACAGTAAGGCGGCGTTCCGTCTAATTTTTATTTTTGACTGATCTCTGACTAGTAACAGTGTGCATAAGACGTCAGACAAAGAAGACGTTGCACACAATTAGCTTACTAATAGGAGAGCTGCTTTTATTTTGTTAAAAGACAACATTTGTACTACTCTACAGTGATATGAGAGAAAAAATAAGTTGAAATAACTTGTTCCCCTGTTTAACATTACAAAACATTATGATATAGAAGATAAATTGGTTAATGAAATAAAGAAATGTCACAAATAAGTTGAAATCAAAAAGTAAATACATTTGTTTTTTTGATATATTGCTGTAATGTTTCAGCTTATTATTTAATAATAAAGAGAAAATCTAGTTTACAGTGCTAGTGATGTGACAGCAACAGTCAATGTACATTTCCAGGGCTGGACTGGGACAAGAGAAATGTTGCTACTACCTCCGAATCAGCTTTATTGGCCAGGTGTGTCAGACACACAAGGAATTTGACTCTGGTACATCGGCTCTCCATGTGTATGTACATATGCCCATGCAAGGGGCAAGTAAACAGTAAACCAACATAAGGCTGTGTAATATAACAAAATAAGCAGTATTAATGAGCAACAAGCAGCAAATAATGCAAAATAAGCAGTATAGACAGGCAGTAGACAATGCAGACAGAAAATGAATGTTCACTGTGAAATGGCATAAGTAGGAATAAAAATAGGGTACTTAAAACTAGAGACCTGTATGAATCTGTATAATAACTTCATGTTTGTAGCAGTTATGATTTTTTTCCTGTTGTGTGTTTTTGCCCTATGCTATGACTACCAGGTGAAGAAGATGAACAGGTGGATCTGCAAACTGTGTGGAGAGAAACAGTCACTGGTCAAGGTCACAGTATAACTTTTATTAGTTCAATTCAGTTCAACTTTATTTGTATAGCCAATTCACAACAGAAATTGTCTCACTTTACATAGTAAGTAGAGTAGAGTAGGTACTTTATTGATCCCTCAGTGGGGAAATTTCTGTGTTACAGCAGCAATAGAGAGCAACCAACCTAACACCATAAGAACAGACACATAAGAACAGAACTTCATAAAAACACGGGAAAGAACACAACGAGGACACAGCTGCTGTAACTTGCTGCCACTCCACGTGGCGCAACAAATAACACTTAGTGTTAAAATAAAAAGGTACATAAGGGCAACAAAGCATCAGAACCAGTGCACACAAGTAGCGTCATCAGAACGTTACATTTTACACAGCACAAATCAAAGGCACCTAAAAACAGGGCAGAGCAGCATTGGAGAGAATCAGGAACAGCAGTAGAGACTAAACAACCAGGAAATCAAGAACAATCAAATATTACTCACACAATTAATCCCACAATGGGGTAAAGAAACCTGTGTTTCAGCCATAAGGATCTCTGAGCAACTACTCAAAAATACTTAAAGCAGGGCAATGTACAGTATTTGAGAGAGATCAGGAACAAGATGTTACACATGAGCCTATTTACAATGCATTTCACCCCCAGGAGCTGAATATTGCACCTCAGTAGATTATTACATAGTCCCTCATAGTTTCACCTAGCTTATCACTGCAGTGATGTATTGTACAGTTTGATTGCTGTGGGGAGGAACGACCTACAGTACGGTAACGTTCCTTCTTACACTGGGGATGTAAC